CCTTTCTTTAGTTTAGGTAACTTTTTCGTGGAACTGTTGAGCATTTTTTTTGCAGCTTCTTCAGTTTTAGTTCTAGTAGCTTGTCTTTCTCTAAGAATGTTACTTGAAGTAAAACATAACTGACATAATTGTGTATCAGCGTCTTCTTTGCTACAAGAAGCTGATATGCAATTGGGATGAACATTCTGTTGACATTTGTCACACCGCACTTTATTTTCTGAATTTAGTTCTTCTTCACAAATACAACACCTATCGAGTTGACAACTCGGATTATGATGAACAACGGTGTCCGTTACGCACGCACTAAGAACATCCGTCTCGATATTGTCAGTGTAATTTTCGTTATTTTCAATATCATTTTCCTCATTTTCGCCATCATTGTCCACATTTTCACTAACATTTTCACAATTAAGTAGTTCCTCTGCTTCTGCCGGTCGATCATTCAAAATCTCTTGTAATTCTTCTTCGGTTTCTATAGTCTTTGCCAATGACAATGGAATGTTACTAGAAGTAAGGCCAAGTTTTGGGTCACTTCCTAACAGAGCCTTGTATGGTGAACGTCCAATGGTTCTATGGAAAGAAATATTTTTTTGCCATTGAAGAAACTGTAAACCAATGGACCATTTCTTAGAATTATTGTCGTGCATCCAAGCGCGTATCATATCTTCTACATCTTTATTGGCCCTTTCAATGCTCCCTTGGCTTTGTGGATGTCTTGGGCGCCCATGTACCAGTAGACACTCTGGCCACATTGTTTTCAAGTCGGTGATTATGCGGTTAACAAATTCGCGACCATTATCGCTCTGAAGGATCTTCGGGGCCCCGATTAACAGAAAAATACTTAAAGAGTTCTTTAGCAACTTCTTCGGCTCTCTTAGATTCTAATGCTCGCAGAAAGATGAATTTTGTGGAATGGTCCTGATAGTTCATAATCCATTTGAATTTACTATCAGGCATTGACTGGAAATCAATTAAGTCTACCTGGCCCCGTTCATTAAAGTCTTTCGAAACGATTGGCCGCACAACTATTTTTTTCCTTCCTTGCTTTTTTTCATTGCATGGTTCACAGCATGAGATAAATAATTCAATTGCTGGACGAGGAATACTGTATTTCATACGTAAAGCAGCTTCCATTTTAATTCGTCCCCCATGACCAGTTTTGTTGGTATGAACATCGTCCAGTTTTTCATATAGCTCCTCATATGCAACCACATATTCTATTTTATCTTCCGCGCCATGTTGCTTAATTAGATATGAGTTATTTCCCACAGTCATTACATCGTACGTGCTTAATAAAAAGTATTCTCTCCTTTCTTTTCGTCCGCTATAAAAAAACAACATTAAGATAGAGTAGGTAATAGCATGTTACTGTACTTACGTTTTACTTTTAGCTATTTGGATTTCGTTAATCATTGACTTAATGATATCTTTTGTGAACGGTTTTTTATTTGGTTTATCATTGTAATAATTTAACACCTTTTCATAAAATAAGTTCTTGCGCACACTAACATTTGAATCGTTCTTCTGTGACATTTTCACAAGGTATGTCAGATGTAAAAGTATTTAAAGACTGTTCGCACAACGACCGCTATCTAAGGCTTGTCTCACAGTGGAAGCGTTTACGCGCGAACTGGGATTCGTACGAATACTTACGTTTACGGACGAACTATTCAAACGTACAATTTCAAACGGCCCTTCGCACATTAGCGATTAATAAATCGTCCGTATACGTGCGTGTAATTGCGACGTGCGAACCGATCCCATTTTGTTCGGATTTTTATGCGTATTCGCAGGTTGTAGACGATTGTTTGTGAACAGTATTGCTCAGCTCACGATGCATACGCAGATAATGTGAGAATGCGATATGTGCGTACACGGACGTACAATTTCTGACGTTAACGTGCGTATTTCAGTTCGCGCGTAAACGCTTCCACTGTGAGACAAGCCTAAGAGGTACAAGTGATCGAGTCCAGTAAGTACATAAGTAAAGGGTTACAATCTGCATTCAAGTTACACACATTTATAGATTAATTGAATAAAGCAAATACCTCACCTGATATAAAAAGCAAAAGCACACAGCAATGATTAAGGTATAACAAAATATTTCAAGATAAGCCGTACTTTACACACACTTAAGCCGGTTACAAGAAAAAGACCATGAACACACATGTTAAATTGTATTTATTGACTAGCCCAAAGGATAGGTAACTTATTGATCTCTTAACACCCCCAAAAACCACCCGAAAATCGCCCATTCCCTGCATTTCACGTATTTCTAGGAAAAAACTGGACTGCAGGTGTTTGAAATGGTAAACACATGTGGTCTTCCGAGAAATTCCATCCGGCTCATCTTCGCTCTCTTTCCCTTTTCTGTAATCTCACCAGATTTCGGCTGGCAGCTTGTGTAACTAACATGATGTATATGGTGTTTCGTATCGACAATCATACTCACAGGATGTTGTTAAGGTTGGGGTATCTCAGGCTACATGATGTGGGGTCGGCGCCATCCCCGAGCGTTTTTCTTCTACAGTTTTGGCCAGATTGTTTTCAAATTGGTATTGTGAGTTCGGTTAGTTCTTAAAATCGTATGGCCGCTATAATGACTTTTGAAGGCGTTATGTGACATGTCACTGTATCCGCGCACATGACGTTAAAGAAGAAGTTCAGGCGAGTTACATTCACATATATATGGTTACATTACGTGTCGCGCGCCATATTGTTCCCGCCATCTTGACCCTCATTTTTCAAAAGTACCTATAGATAAAATTGTTGTATTATAACAATTACAAACAATAGCATAACGGTAACACACATATGATTCTGCATTGCGGTTAAACCTCGTAAATTTCAAACACAGATATTCAAACACAACAAATATAAAATGCGGCGTACAAAACACAAATACGACATAAAGAAATGCAAAAATTACTACCTGCATTAAATAACACAAAATAACAACAAACATTTATGGAGCGACGCGTTCACGACCGCCATTCCAGACAAGATGCCAAACGTAACTCCCGTTCGTGCTTTCTAGGTGGCGCAGGCAGCTTTTCTCCACCTAGAAATTGCATGGTTGCCAACTCTCAAAAATGTATGTATCGCCGTAAGTTGTATCATTGTATATGTATTAAGGTGGGTTCATAGCTCTCCGTTCATCCGTTGCGTTGATCCGTCAAACGGATAGTACATTTTGTTAAGGTTCATAGCAATCCGTCCACATTGTACATTTGCAACGTATAACCATAACCTAAATTTTATTTTGTATTGTACCCTCCGTGATTTTCAGTATGAAAAAATGGTACGAAAATAAGAACACGTTGCTATCTGAATATCACCGTGAAGAACGAATAGGCGAACACTGTTAACGTACCAAACATAACCTCACTCTTGTTAAAAACGGACCAACGGAAACGTAAATGTTCAACTTCAACCAACTTTTCCGTCGTAAACGGACGACGTACGATTTAAAAATTTGCTGCCTTCTGATTGGCTAACGGACAAACGGAAACGTATGAACGGAGAGCTATGAACTTACCTTTATGGTTGTATATACAGGGCGGAACCTCTCAGTTTTAAATTAATGTATTTTATGACATAATCTGAAGTCATGTAATTGGACCGGTAATCTTCGATGGAACTTTAACTGCTCACCATTATTTACAAATTCTACTAGAAGATTTTCTAGACAACGTATGTTTCACAGAGAGGGTTGGTTTATGATGATACCTGCCAACAAACTGGCTGCCAAGGTTATATATTCACGAATTGTGTAGGTAGATTGTACATTAAAAAATAAATTAGGTATATGGAAGTAGCTACAACTATAATAATAATAACGTACACCAACAACCAAACCGTTCTAAAAGCGTGTTATATAGCACGTTACCTAAAGTAAACTGTCTTGAAGTGTGTCCCACTAATAATGGCCAGTATTTTAAACATCTGATGTAATTATTTTCATTCTTTTGTTGCCTCGAATAGATTTTGTTTGCTTTTTTTTAAATTCATCACAGACCACTTGAAAGCCGTTGATATAACTGGTATGTTATTATTTTCATTCTTATGCTATGATATACCTACCCATAGTTCGTTGTAAAGATAATTTAAAAATATATCAAGTAATCTAAAAATCCAATATGGCGCCTATTTAACTTTAGGAAGTAGATGTCCCTCCAAGGTAGCCATCTTGAATTTTTTTACATCAATTCTAAATTTGGCGTATCAAAGACAGTAAACTTTGATATAAAACTTTTTTTATATCTCTTGTACTTTCGATGATATAAGACATTAAAGGAAATGACCAATTCTAGTTGTTTTTTTTTAATTTACGTCGAACCTATTCGACATTTTAATTTCCACAAGGAAATTTTAAAATCTAAAACTGCAAAACATTGTCCATTTAACCAATTCTCTATCTTTAATAATAAGAAAGTTACCCATGCAATCCCACCCGATCTGGAACACACTGTATATATAATTGGTTCGATTTTGTCTCAGTATATTTATTGATTGCTGAAGATCCTTGGAAGACGCCAGATATATTCATAGAACATTCTATGGATATTTAGAATATTCACATACCTTCTTACAGCATATGTTAAAAGAATATTTAATGTTATCTGGGGACACTAGTGTAACGTTTATTTATTTTTACTATACTATTATTCAACTATATATTAGTAATAATACAATAACTATTTATTTTAAATGAGAATTATCTTTTCCTTTTAACGAGTCAACATGACGTTCGAACTCTCCGGTAAACTGATCTATGGGGGCAGTGTAGCCGAATTTTTCATGTTATTCATTGCAAGTGCCTCTTCCTCATTTACTAAAGTGCATTCCTTCCAGCAGGTTATTAAAAGAATTTGTTTTCCTTTTTTTCAACAAAGTACTGAATCCAAGATAATTCATTGTGTGAAGAGAGAAGCAACACCACCGCAGGAGGTACATAATTTTTTTGAAAATTGTCGATTGGACGTAAAGCAAAAGATAAAATATATAGAAAATATGGTGTATTTTCATATTAAGAAGGCAATAATATCATAGTAATCATTACAAAATCTATGAACAATGCAATGATACCGACGATTTTTTTCCAGTGAACAGAACCTTAAGATTAATCGTAATACAAGGAAAAACGACCATGCTATACAGAATAGTAGAGAGAACATAATACAAAAAAAAAGGTCAACAAATATTTCACATTCGGTTTTAGCCGTGTCGATTTACTTTAATAACAGTAAAGGCTCTTCGCGCGTCACATAATCAATTTACAAAAGAAATTGACGATTTGGTTTGGATCTTTGATTGATGTACAATTAAAAAGTCCTAAACGATCACATAAAAAATAAAACATTGCAAGTTTAATTCTAACAAACTCATAAATTAACAACCTTAACAATCAAATATAATGATTTGAATAGAATAGTAACTATAAAGTGTAGATCACTTCTAATTGTGTGTCTGTGTGTGTGATAAAATATATACAATACAAGGAATAGTTAGAAAAGCGTGGAGGAAGGTACTACACTTAAAAATTCATTTTTTACAATAATGGTACAAATTTCATACAAATCTTGAAACATGGGATTTTTCTACAAAACAAAATGAGACCGAAAAATACAAATGTTTCAAAACTAACCTCATTTCATACAGACTAGCATTAATCTATGATAACATATGGCAAAATTTTTAAAATCTCGCCATTATATGAAGGTGTATCGAGCACCTCGTGCCACTCCCGGAAAGTATGCGTATCACTATCACTATTAGCTTCACTAAAGGATTCATTTTTGGCAACACCCTCTATACTAACTTCGGGCTCGTCTCGCTCTCCTTCCGATATGCTGTACTTTTTAAAATTTTCACTTGCGGGCTGCGAATAGTCCATACTACTAAATTTGAGTAAATTCTCGGTATTTACATTAGGCACTACGTTTACATAAAGACCGTCGTCAGTTCGTTTAGGTTCTTCCTTACATTTCCCGACTCCGCAACTCCCATTCACGTTAGGTATACATTCCGCGTGCAATCTATGAACCTGTCTACTCAACAACTCACCGTTCAGACTTAGATTATATTTTTTAACGAGATGATTTCTCGCCATGCAACTATCGTCCTCCACAAACTCAAACGTACGTTGTAAATTAACCTCCTCGTCGTCCGCCACCGAAAAATCCGTCTTATTCTCGATCAGCTGGCAACTGCACCGCGGCTCAGGATCCGTTTCCTCGAGCACGCTGCGATCGATAGGTGGCAGTAACGCTAAGGCCTCTTCGACGGTCAACGACTTCGGAACGCCGCTCGACTCCTCCTCGACCGCCTCAACCTCGTCCCCCTTTTCGACGTCCACCTCCACCTCACCGTCGTCGACGATAATAATTTCGTCATCGGAACTTTTCACATTGCTAACGATTCCCGACTCGATCACCTCCGTCTTGACACTCGACTTCCTCTGGAAATTCCTGTTGTACCGATTGGAGGTCGCGTTCAGCTTCTGATCGATGATCGACACGCGCTCCGACAGCTTGGCCGCCTTCTCGTTCAAATCCTCGACGGGCTTGCCGGCGGCGGTCGCGTTGTTGCTCTTTATGTGCAGGTCGGCGAGCAGCTCCTGCGTCGTTTTCACCTTCGCGTTGCCGCGCGACACGTTCAGCTTGTTCGAGAACGACGTTTCGGCCTCCTCGATTAGGTTCTTGTGATTCTTCGAGCCTTTTTTGCGGCCCCGCTTCTTCGGCTGCTGCTGCTCCAACGGCGGCTCGTGCTTGTGATCGGGCATGCTCGAATTGGAGTCGGAATTGATGATTATGACTGACTTGGTGGTATCCTTAAAGCTGGAGTTCGAGTTGTCCGAGAAGTCGAGCTCGGACATTTGGCCGTTGACGCGCGGTCGCTTTACGTTCGGCTGCTGCAGGTCGGTCGGATCTTTCAACGGACGCTTTTTGTTTTGTACCGTGACCTCGTCCTGCGTGTGCTTGAGTTGTCCGTTCGAGTCCAGCAGCACCGAATCTCGCCATTTCTTAACTAAATCCTTCGCTCGTTTCGCTAACAACTTATTCGTAGTGTTGCGACGTAACTGATTAACGTACTTTCCTAATCGGGTGGTCTGTAGGGGTTTGGGTGTGATTAGTACGGGCGGTCATCGTAGAGTTAGGCCTTACCTCAAGAAGTTCTTTGGTAATTGTGATCTTTTCCAACTGAGATATAATTTCGATGACAGCTGGCATATCGATGACCTAATGGGAATGATCACTTTAATTTTGGCAATTTCTGGATATTTGTCAGAGGAGGATTTAAATATGGGATAAATTAAAGGGGATACATGTTTTTTGGGGCCATAATGAATTGGAATATACGAATTTCATTAGAGAAACAGACATTTAATGCTCATTTTTGAAAAACTATAAGATTCGTATTCATTACAGTCCACCTGCTTTTAGGTACATAATGCGACCGACACAAATTTATATAAAATTTCATTAAAACTACAAAATCTTACATTGTAATTGCTATCCAATGATCGGAGTAATTTCTGCGTTAATTCTGTTACGTTATTCTGCATTTAAAGTCGGTTTGTAACGATAAAACCGAATATATTTCGAAAGAACTTTGCGTAGTTCCACTCCGTAACAATGGCGGAGGTACATTGCGTTTTGTGCAGTTCTTCACTCCGCACTGTGAAACGGGGAACATGGAGCACACGAATAGACTGAGGAGGGGATCGGACACACGAAAAAATCTACGAAATACGCGTGCGTCGGCTATGTCATTTCAAATCATTCAAAATAAAAAGGGAGTTTTTGGCATTTTTTACTCAAAATTTTGACATTTCCACAACGATTTGCCTTTGTTTTTAACGAGACATTAAATCAAGTAGTCATTTGTGATTTGGCATACCTCCCTTACCGATTCACTTCTTTGCGAAAAAAGGAAATTGATTACCGATCTTGGTGACATCTTTTAGCACTACAACAATTTACGTTTCTTCATTTGTTTTCCTTACCTACTTACTAAATAAAAATAAAAGTTAAATATCAGGACATTCTTTTTTTTATCCTAATTTCATGACACAAATCCCCTAAACACCTTCTCCCTTGAATTGAGATACTCTTCTAACGTCCCACTAAAGTGTGTAGGTGTTATGTGATTGACCAGAAAGCAAGCAAGAGTACTTTCCTCAAATCCTATTTCAAAATGTTGCATTAATTTGCGAAATGGAACAAATGAATACGGAGAAATAATCCGCCAACTTTCATTCATTCCTTTTCGCAGAATACAAGGAAACATAATGCAATCACGTCCGCCTCAATTTTTTCACTTTCAACTCCAAACATCTTTATTTAGGGGGTGAAAAACGTCATGTAGCCCCAAAAAGAAACGGGAATGGGGTAACGATTAACATAACCTTTAAAATTTAAAGTTATGCGTTTGCAAAATAAATAATTACATAATCATTTTACAGGGTTGCCAAGACTTTCGCCCACATCCGTAAAGGTGTGTTCCCACCGAAACAATCGGCGCACGCACGAGTGGCAAAATAAACATGGTGGACAGCTGCGTTGCAAAAAGCAGTAAAGATTATTTTTTTAGCATTGTTTAGAATAACATAACAAATTAACAATGATATTAGTATGTACGTCCAAAACTAAAAGTGTTCAGTGCATACTTTCATTGCCATACGCGAAACGTAGGCTCCGAAGTGGAATTTTTTCCGAGATTGGAAATCGAATACTACAGGAGTGTTTGACAATTTGAAATTCCTGTTTATTTTTCTCCGCCTTGTAAAATAAGTATTGAATTAAAAGACCGCAGGCGGTAATGAGTAAAAAGTTAAGTCTAAACAATTCAACATTCACAGTGTCCTTTTCGCATCTCGGTCATGTATGAACCGAATTGTAAACTTTTTTATTTATGAGATGAGGGTATATTTAAACAGTCATGAGAATAAAAACAAATGTAATGCTAGTTCCAAAATTTGGTTTTGCGCATGCGCAGTGCTAACTTTTTTATTTACGAAAGCATGTAAGTGAAATTTGAGACGTTGGCACTTGGAATAAAAGCAAATGTATTGCTGGTTTCAAAATTTGAGTTTGCGCATGCGCAGTGCCTACTATCTTATTTATGAAAATAGATCCTTAGGCATTTTGAATAAAAGCAAATGTAGCGCCAATTCTAAAATAGGGTTTTGCGCATGCGCAGTGCTAATTGTCTTATTTACGAAGCATTTAAATAAAATTTGATACATAGGCACTTGGAATAAAAGCAAATGTAATGCCAGCTCCAAAATTTGGTTTTGCGCCTGCACAGTGCCAAATTTCTTATTTATGAAATTTAATACTTAGGCACTTGGAATAGCAAATGTAACGGTAGTTTCAAAATTTGGTTTCGCGCATGCGCAATGCCAATTTTCTGATGTCTAACTTGTCTCCGTGGAGCAGGTACCTAATACAGTTCGATCTTTCGCTGTAGGTATCTCTACTCGTCTCGTGCGGATCGCAGTTCTTGGCATCTTAGCAATGCGAGATATTTAGGGACACTCTCATTAACATTTCCTCTATTTAAAATATGTTCTGCTTAAGCGATAATCGATTTTCACATGAATACTTGCTATTGGCATTCTCACATGTACCTTTCGTGTTAAATTAATTTATGTTAACGGAAGGCTGGAGTAGAGCCACACCATTTACATGTTTCCTATGTACATGCAATTTATTTTTTTTACGAGTTGTGTTAGCTCAATTGATTGTACAGGTATTTTGATGTGTTTTTGTACTGAATTGATTTATCATTTGTTTAATTGCATTTAATTTGATTATCTGATTTTTATCATACAATTTGAGATGTTTTATTTATGTGTATTTTCGCTTGCATTTTATTGCCTATGCCGGGGGTTTTGTCCCGTAGAAGGTTTCCCTGGTATGGTCTTATTGCGTGCGTAATATATATATTTGTTCTTGCCATTTCTTACGCGCAAAAGTTCTGTCTTTTATTTAATTCTCTTCCCGATTATGTCTCACGTCCCAACACACACAAGAACCGATTACACAAAGTAGGAGTTCAATCGTGCCACTCATGTCGAGCCGACTGCCAAATTCAAAAGTGTTGCGAAACGTCTCTCGTTTCAATTTGAAAGGTAGGTGATTCTGCTCGTAGTTTTTTCCCAGACTTACCTACGGTAAGCATAGGGTAAGTCAACGTTTTCAGTGTCGGCTTGATAGACCCCTAGGACCATTACAAGGTTTAGGACATTTTTTTAAACCTTTTTTGAAATGCAAACTCATATAAAAATTCTTAACGAACCTGGACAGAGTGTTAGGGGCCTGGTTTTTCGGATAGTAGGCGTTGTGGTCACGTTCGGCTTAGTTCTTACTCTTATAGCTATTTCGTAATGTTTTTAACACCTTCAATGGCGGGTTATCTCTCAAAATAGCGAAGTCTAATTTTTTACGGTCGTTAATCAACTGCACACTTAATTTACATTTAACTTATACATTTAACTTGCATTTAATTTTTTTTTGCGTATGAGCACCGCCGTATATTTGTGGAATCGACCAGCTCTGTTGAACACCCGGTATATCTCGAAGCGTTTTAAATTGAGCGCTTCGCGTTACGAAAGTGTCGCGCCGAGAGTATTTGCGTTAAGTCCAAGAGCTAATTGATTTAATTTCTAGATTCGTTTCAACCGCCGCTACCGTAATTAACGCTACAATTAATCCATCCGCCGTTTGCAACCGTTCTTTTCCAGATATTTTAATGTTTTTTTTGCAACGTCTCGACGTCTCAATTCGGCCAATTAAGTAAGTGAAATTAACTGTAGCTGGGTGAATGTCTCTACGTGAATGTCTTGCAGTAAACTTCATTCACCCCGTGCTTAGTATCAAATTAAGTGCGCTTAATTAAGAAGAATTTTGAGTCCAGTCCTATACTTTTTCGTTAATCACCTGCCACGCAGTTAATTTAAGAAGTTTTAATTTTCGAGCGTTATCGCAAGGACACACCGTCGAGCAGGAAACTAGTTAATTCCACCATGGCACGGTCGAATTTTATATAAGGTATACGTTTAATTTAGAGGGGATCTTTTGCATTTTGGTGCCGTTTTAACCGTATTAAATTTGGATATTTTTCATGAATTTATTTTATATTTAGACCGTTTAATTTTTGTTTTTTGATTATGTTTATCGCATCTTCCTATAGTTTTTGTTTTTTCTTGTGCAGTAATTCCTACCGATCCGTTAAGGTAAGCTTTTCGCTACGTTCCGTTTTAGTAATTATACGAGGAGATATTTTCTTGCTTTCCTGCAATTGCCTTGCCGTAGAAACCGTTACCGAATCCGATTATTTACTGTTCCCGCTTAGATAAATTAGTAATTACTATTTACTAATTACTAATTCGAAAGGTAAATACCGGGGTAGTACCTTCTGCAGAGGCACCTCTATAACAAGCATTATACAGGTCACTCTGTAATTGGGCGCAAGCCTGTTGAGGGCTCAGAACAAGAGAGGGATAATAAATAAAGAATTTTAAAAAAATTAAATAAATAACACATTATTATGGCCACTTTTTTTCCTCTACACTACTAAGATGCTAGTTTAAAATTTTAAATCGGACGTTTCGTCTCCGGTTAACCATCATCAACTTTGTTTTTTCTTATAGAAGTAATTTTTAATTTTTGTGTCACTTGACAGAGAATTTTTTCTGATTTCAAAAATGTAAATATTACAATTTTTTAAGATGAAAATATCTCCATTTTTGCCTAGAAAATTTTGTCTTGGCAAAGAGTTGTATACACTCTTTGCTTGGCAAAGAGTATATGGTCTTGGCTAATGTACCGGGTGACCCAATAAGACTGTTCCTCGACCATATATCGGAAACCGTTCGTCATATGACTTAGGAGTATTGGGTAAATCGGTCATGAAGAATCGCTGGAAAATATTTTCAAGTTCTAAAAATGTCCAACAGAGGGCGGAACTGCCATCTTAAATTTTAAAATTGCATTTTCTTTAAATTTCGCATAATAAACTAAAAAATTGTTTTCACATTTTTAAAGAGAACCAGTTTATCTATCATTTTCGTAAAAACAAAAACCAGGTATTTCAAAAACAAAGATGGTGTAGGGCGTTCAATTGTTTTTGCAATAACCCTTTTTAACTGTTTCCAAGAAAACTTTCGCGCCATCGACAAATACCGGAAATACGTTAAAAGTAAATTTAAGACACAATTGAAGCATTTTTATTAATTAATTAATCTAATTTTAACAATATTTGAGGTTAGGAACGAGATTTTCAAAAACGGTTTCCACTGGCTTCTTTGGATGTTATTTGGTTACTTTTTCATAAAGAAAAAGTCATATCATTCCATTTGATTTATTTTATTTTTTTTGGATTTTGGGTCATAGTGTCAAAACTAGCCCCCTGGCGGAGAAAGATTCAACTAAATTAACTATATGTTGGTTGATTCTCATTGCCCAAGGAATAATAATATATTTAATGTCCAACAGAAAAAAAAACATTTTCCAATTACAGGACAACAACAAATTAATAGATATAGAGTACAATATAATATAAAGGAAATGAAACGAAATTCTAACCTTATGAGAAAAATACAGTGTGAACGTAATTAAATTAAGAGATATACCAAAACATGAAAGGCAATCTAAAGGGTAAACTAAATATATTAACACGTAATATAACTAAACATTTCGACCTTTTCAACCATACCACATTGGTTAAAATCGGACAAACGGTTAAGAAGTTAAAGCAGGTTATTGTAAAAACAATTGACCGCCCCACACCATCATGTTTGTTTCTGAAATAAATGAGTTTTTGTTTTTACGCAAATGAAAGATAAACTGGTTCTCTTTAAAAATGTAAAAAAAATGTTTAGTTTATTATGCGAAATTTAAAAAAAAATGCAATTTTAAAATTTAAGATGGCAGTTACGCCCTCTGTTGGTCATTTTTAGAACTTGAAAATATTCTTCATGACCGATTTACCCAATAATTTTTTTTACCCCTAGTCATATGACGAACTTTTCTCGAGATATGGCCGAGGAACGGTCTCATTGGGTCACCCGGTACGTACGTAGTTTCATGGGTTTTTACGAATTAATACCGCTATTGCTTATTAAAAGATAGGTATTGGTGTTTACATTTTTGAAATCAGAAAAAAATTCTCAATCAAATGACACAAAAAGTAAAAATTACTTCCATAAAAAAGTTGATGATGGTTGACTGGAGACGAAACGTCAAAACTTAAAATCTAAAAGTCGAATCGAGACACCATCCGATTGAATACATCCACTTGAATTGTACGAGATAAACCGGTTCGCTCGAGTTCTCGATCGGATGCGCGGAGACAACTCGGATCCTCTACTTTTGTCTTGAATTGACTGAAGTGGATGCAAGTGCCACAACATAAACACGATTGAAACGAATTAGTAAATCAGCTGTGCCTATATGTGCCTACGTTCGTATTATTTACTTTGAATTGTGAGGTTATTATCGTCTGTCTTTGTATAATCATGAACTTAAAAAAGAAAGCGGTTGCTGCTACCTTTTTAGCTTTTCAACTGCATTTATTGACATGCAGTATGATTTATTTTAGGTTAACAGAAATACCGTTTGCTGTCTTAAGCATTTGAATGTTACTAACTTGAAGTTAGTTGAAAATAGATTGCGATCTTGGTTTAACGTTACGTTAATCTCTTTTCAGTGGTAACGGCTTCAAAAGAGGATTGTCTAATCCTTTAAATTGTTGCGCGACAAAAAACTCTTCAGCTTGAAACGAGGTTTGACTTTCCTCAAGATGGCAACCACGTGATAAACGTAGTCATTTGTTCGAAATATCCTTTAAATAAGTTCAGTAAAAAATAAAAACGATTTTACAAATTTTCGTTTTTTTTCCGGATATCTTCGAAAGTAGTCGGAATTTGTTCAGTTTCAAAACTGCATTTTGTTAAGCATGAAAATACGCAACTTTACCAAATTTAAACTACCTCTCTTACAGTTCCCGAGATTCCCATGAGGGTCCTCGAATTTGAATCAGCCTGTATATTCAAGAGTGTCGAATGAAAAAAAATGTTTAAGTTAAAAGTGAGGCGTTGGTATTCGTCAAACGAGTACAAATTTATGTTATGATGGATAGTTTAGAAATTGAATCACCAACATAATTCTTCAATTCGATTTTATTTTATACGCCATTTACAATACGAACAAAAGTGAATACATATATCTATATTAGTAACCTCCAGATGGCGCAAGTATTTTTCCATCTACATTTATACAGTGGCGTAACACTTCCCGTCCTTGAAAAATTCATACATTACAAATTCAACTTATCAATAGGTTTAGGTGTACGTTTACTACGTCGTAAGTTAGGTACAACTGAAACAGAAGGCTCTGATATTACAGCATTATCTGATGTCTCAGCAGGATGTATTTCTTCTTGTCTTACCTCTGGGTTAACTATAGGATCCGGTTTACTCTCGGGTGGATTTATTATTTCATGATTCCTATAGTCACATGGTAATTGCCTTTCAAGATTTTCACCACAATTTGATAACTGATTAATATGTCTCCTCCAGACTAATCCGTCATCTAACGTTATTTCATAATGATTTTAATAACCCTGAGTAACCTCCAGATTATTTTTCCATCTACATTTATACAGTGGCGTAACACTTCCCGTCCTTGAAAAATTCATACATTACAAATTCAACTTATCAATAGGTTTAGGTGTACGTTTACTACGTCGTAAGTTAGGTACAACTGAAACAGAAGGCTCTGATATTACAGCATTATCTGATGTCTCAGCAGGATGTATTTCTTCTTGTCTTACCTCTGGGTTAACTATAGGATCCGGTTTACTCTCGGGTGGATTTATTATTTCATGATTCCTATAGTCACATGGTAATTGCCTTTCAAGATTTTCACCACAATTTGATAACTGATTAATATGTCTCCTCCAGACTAATCCGTCATCTAACGTTATTTCATAATGTAATAACCCTAGTTTTTTAGTAACTCTACCAAACTTCCACTTGAGTGGACCTAAGTAGTTTCTCGCTGCAATTCTATCTCCTACTTCGAATGATCTTTCTACTGGTTTTGGTAACATTAAAGAAAGAGTAGTTCTTATTGGATAAGCAAAAATCATTTCAGATGGAGATTTATTCGTAGCAGGATGTTTTGTGTTACGATATTGAGTTAAAATTTTGTCTAAATTTTCTTGCAAATTTAATTTATTTGCTTGTAAACATTTTATTTTACGTTTTATTGTTTGCACATACCTTTCCACTTGTCCGTTTGTCGCAGGGTGGTATGGGGCTGATCGTTTGTGAACTATATTTTGACTTTTTAGAAATAATTCGAACTTTGGATTTACAAACTGTACTCCATTATCGGTACATAAGCAATTTGGAATTCCGAAAATAGAGAAAATTCTACGCAATATCTCAATTGTATTATCAGTATTAATTTTGTGTAAAATGTGAACCTCTGGCCATTTTGAATATGCATCAATTAAGATGAGAAAATATACATTTAAAAATGGTCCAGCAAAATCTACATGAACTCTATCAAATGGTGAAGAAGGATAAACCCAATGATGTTTAATTTCAGGAGGATTATTTTTGTTTTCCGCACAGGTTAAACAATTTTGTACTACTGCTTTAATGTCCTCGTCTATTCCGGGCCACCAACATACACTGCGTGCTAATGATAACATTCGTGCTATTCCAAAATGAGCGCAATGTAAGTCTTTTAAAATTCGCTTTCGTAATATAGAAGGTATCACGACTCTATTCCCTCTTAAAATACAATCATTTTGAATTGTAAATTCTGATTGATTAATTCCAAATCTAACTAAATGTGGAACATTATTATTTTCTTTTAGCATGGTCAATAGAAGTCCTAGTTCTGTGTCTAATTTTGTTTGTTTGCTTAACTCATCTACTGTTACAGGTAATGTGTGTATTTGGGAAATTTCATAAATGTCAGATTCTTCTACAGTATTTTCAATTTTGGATTCTACAGGTAATCTAGAGAGCGCATCAGCGTTTGCATTTAATTTTGAACTTTTATACCTTATTTCAAAATTGAAACTTTGTAGAAAAATAGCATAGTGTTGCATTCTACTCGCAGACATTATCGGTAAGCCTTTTTGTGGAGAAAATATTTGAGCTAATGGTGCATGGTCTGTATACAAGACAAATTTCCGACCAAATAAAAATTGGTGAAAACGTTTCACTCCAAAAATGATCGCATATGCCTCTTTATCAATTTGAGACCAATTACGTTGTGAACTAGTTAAGGATTGGGAAGCAAATTGAATCGGTTTTTCCGAGCCATCTGGCATGATATGCGATAACACAGCACCTACGCCTACAGGCGATGCATCAGTGGCTAGGATAATTTGTAAATTGTTGTTAAAATGTACTAAAAAATTATCCGATTTCATCATTTCTTTTATTTTGTTTAAAGCATTCTCACAAGCCTTTGTCCAATTCCATTTTACACCTTCACGCAATAACAATCTCATTGGCTCTAATATCTCGCTTAAATTTTCAAAAAATCTACCATAGTAGTTTATAAGTCCTAGTAATGATTGAAGTTCTTGGATATTTTTTGGTTGTAAAGCATTGACTACCATATCTACTTTACTTTTAGTTTTATGAATACCAAACTTATCAATTCGGTAACCACAATATTCAATTTCATTTTTTAGGAACTCTGATTTACTTAAATTTACTTTGATATTGTAATTTAATAATCTTTTAAATACCTCTTCTAATCGTTCAAGATGAATTTTATCGTTTGGAGCAGTTAGTCTACAATCATCTATGAACACAGCAATGCCGGGTATTCCTGACAAAATATTTTCAATTTTTCTTTGAAATTTAGCAGGGGCGCAACTTAAGCCGTACATTAATCGTGTGCATTTATAAAGACCCTTATGTGTATTTAGTGTAAGAAATTTCTGGTCCTCATCACGAACTCTCATTTGTAGGTATGCTTTAGTTAAGTCAATTTTAGTGAATTTTTCCCCTCCAGCTAAATCTTGAAACAATTCATCAGTGGTAGGCAAAGGATGTTCATCCACCACTAAATTTGGATTTAAAGTTACCTTAAAGTCTGCACATAAACGTATTTTATTTCCAGATTTTACTACCGGTACAATAGGTGTTGCATAATCACTGTAATCTATTTTTTCTAATACACCTTCCCTAACCAAATTGTCAATTTCGTCCTCAACTAATTTTTTTATTGCAAATGGAACGGGTCTAGCTCTAAAGAAAGGTATATTTGCATTGGCTTTTAAATTTATTGAAACAGGTTCACCTTTCATTTCTCCTATTTGCTTATCAAATAAGACAGAATATTTACCTAATAATTTTTTAAGAACTGATTCAGTGCCAGTAACGGATTGGCCAGTATTTGAAACTTGAACAGCATTTACCGTATGAAACATTTTACTTAGCGTATCTGCTGAAAATCCCCTTATCCATTCTCTACCAAATAATGGTGTTTTATTTCCTGATATGACATACAAAGGAAGTTCTTTTGATTCCTCCTCGAGAGTCACCGTCACCTGTAGCTTCCCTAAAACATTTAAATCATTATCAGTGTAAGATTTCAACCTAATTGGAGTAGGTATTAATTTAACATTATTTAGATGTTTCTTATAATCTACATAACTAATAATTGAAACAGCTGAACCGCTATCAAGCTCCATTTTCATGAATTCATTATTTAACCTCACCTCTAACCACATTTTTTCAGGATTAAACTCATCTTCTACATTATTTATATAAAATACTGGTTGGTTCTCATCATCAGTATCGTCCGCATCTACTTCGTTAACGGATTTTTGTAATTGCATGCGTACTTTTTGAATGTGCCCTTTTCGTTTACAATAATTACAGACACTGCTTGTATGCCGACATTTATTTGCATAATGACAACCACCACATCGAAAACATGAAATACTATTTTCTTTCTGACCTGACTGTGGCTTGGCTACAATTTTTTTATTGCTAACATGTTTAGGCATTTTATTTTTAACCGAAGTTACTGAATGAATAGACTTATCTGAAATTTCGTTGGCGTAAGATGACTCGATACTTTGGGCTAGCTCCACCGCTGTTTTCATGGTAAGGTCCTTCGTTTCTAGGAGGCGATCCCTTATTCGTTTATCCCTGATGCCACATGTGAACTGATTCCTTAATGCAGTCTCCAGGAAAGTACTAAAGTTGCATGTTGCCGCCATCCTACGTAACTCCGTAATGTAATCACGAATAGATTCCCCTTCGTTCTGGAGGCGATGATGAAATTTAAAATATTCTGCTATTTCCAAAGGTTGCGGGTCGAAGTGGTTTTTTAATAACGTGCACAAATCTTCGTATTTTTTATCTTCCGGCGCATCCGGTGAAAGAAGATTGCATACCAGGTCGTATGTTTCACCCCCAATGAAGTGCAGAAAATAATGTAATTTGGCATTCCCTTCTACTTGATATATTTTGAACGCTCCTTCCAATCGTTGAAGCCATCTTTTGAATTTCGTTTTAGCGTCGTAGAATTCAATAAAATTGGCTGGCACGTGGTGCGTTGAACTTGAAGTCATCGTAGAAACGGGATACTGCAGCAATTATATTCTTGGGTATTCGTATATTGTATTCTCGATCCTCGTCGCCAAACTGTTATGATGGATAGTTTAGAAATTGAATCACCAACATAATTCTTCAATTCGATTTTATTTTATACGCCATTTACAATACGAACAAAAGTGAATACATATATCTATATTAGTAACCTCCAGATGGCGCAAGTATTTTTCCATCTACATTTATACAATGGCTCGAAAATGAGAGATGCGCCCAACTGTACCTACTACATGATGCGACTCTGTGTTTACAAGCGGTTCGCTTCTCTTCGAGTCGCACCGGTACAACGCCGAACCTGCACGATATGAGTCATAATGAACAATAATAAAGAAGAATGATTAAATTACACTAAATTAAATTAATTCTCTTGCCATACTACGCGATATTTCAAATTGAATTTGTCAGGAGCTAACGGGCAGTTCACTAATCTATGATATGATTTTCTTTGTCCGAAATGTGAAATGCACCAATCGCGTCGTCCGAATCCGAAAATCAAACCGAGCGTTTTGATTGGAGGAGAGTTTAGACTCGACCCATATTACAACCGTCGTTTTCCATTTCCAAGCTTTTGTAAGCGTATGTTGGGAAAGTTGTCTAAATAAATATTCGCGAATTTGTATTGTCGTTTTTTTATTGTTTTTAGTGAAAGTGAAAACATCAACACAAAATGAGTTTCATTAGGAAGTTGGATTTTGATTTTGATGAGTCAGACAATGAACAGTTAGATTCTTCCTCAGGATGTGAATTAAGTTCTTTGGATAACAATGGTTCCTATTACAGTTCTGATGGACACAGCAAGACGCCGACGTTCGATTGTAACACCGAAGTCGTGGTGAGTGCCTCTAGTCCACCCTATAAGTGTGTACGTGCATTGAGACTCTGCGACAACCCGCTCACCCCGAAGACCATCGTACATAAATCGTCGACCTTAGATTCACCCATGCCGCGTACGCGACTGCTGACCCCCTACGATAAAAGACGCGGTTTCGCTTGCACCTATCGAAGCAACGATCAGCCCGCCGCCAACGTTAATCCGTTCACACCTAACGGAATGACGGCAAATAAGAAACGAACTCGTTCGTACGCCTCACTCTTGGCGTCCCCTAAATTGGGGACATCGAACGACGATTCCGATATGAGCGACGCCGAGATCGAGCAGCCCACCAAGCGGCGTGCGCTCGAAGATAACAACATCACCCGCTATCACCAGGAGTTTTTAGAGTTGGAATTGATCGGGTTAGTTTTTTTTACATTCGCTTGTTTATGGGGTACCAACCGTATTAGTGAAAAAAAAATAATGCCGAAACCCCTTCTAACGCTGTCATCTTTCAGGTCAGGCCAGTTTGGTTCCGTCTATAAGTGCATTAATCGTCTCGACGGCTGTTTTTACGCGATAAAAAAATCGTCGAGACCGGTGACGGGAAGCATACTGGAAAAGTGGGCTCTGAACGAGGTCTACGCGCACGCCGTCCTAGGCGGGCACCAGCACGTCGTACGGTACTACTCCGCATGGGCCGAGGACAATCACATGCTGATCCAGAACGAGTACTGCAACGGCGGTTCGCTCGCGCAGAAGATCACCCAGGACTGCCTGAGTATAAGCGAGCTGAGACAGTTGATTTTGCAAGTGGCGGAGGGCCTCCGGTACATTCACTCGAAGGGCCTCGTCCATCTCGACATCAAACCGGCGAACATATTCATAGCGAGCGAGAAGAAGGCGCAGTATATCAATTACGATTCGACCGACGACGGTTTTGAGGATACTGACGAGACTTCGTTTTCCGAAGAGGAACAAATTATGTATAAGATAGGCGACTTGGGACACGTCACCAGTATTTTAAATCCGCAGGTAAAATTCGACTGTCGTATCTTACAAAACAAATGATGGCTCATGTGAGGTTAAACCTTCATTTATAAAATTTCGCAAGTTTTGGAGGCCGTCCTTGATAAATCTTGGAAAGGGTTCTCACTATTAAGTCTCAAAAGAGCAATTTTGAAAATAGGGCGCGTCAACTTCACCCCTTTAACATGCAATTTAAAAAAAAATTGAGTGACTACAAAATTCTAATCGAAACTCAAAATTTGTATAAAAAATGTTCTAAAATACAGGGTGTAACATATAAGTATGGGTGGTAGAGGACACTGAAACCAGCATTTTTTCCAAATAAACCAAGAGCCCAATGTGTTGCGTTGAGAGCTACTCAAAAAAAATGGTGAAATTTACATCTTTTTCTCGGCAACCCTAAGATGTACAGGGTAGGTTTACCCCAAGGTGCTAGCTACCTAAAGATGGTGTTCGAAAAAAATTCAGATTTTGAACAATTTCAAACCTGAAAATTAGGAGTTCGAAAGTATTTTTTAAAAATTTGAAAAAATTCGTGATCTGTCCGCAAAAACGGCAAGAATTCCACAAGATTTGTTGTGTACAGGGTTATTCCCTATAGTTAGACAGCACAAGAATCGCCAGAAAATGTTCAAAGTAAAAAAAAACAATGAATATTTTTAATGGAACGCCCTGTATATTTTTCAAAAATTAAATAGATCTTTTCTTTTCGATTTCAAAAATATATGTTGACATTTGCTTTAGCTGTGTTTGAAATATTTGCATTTATAGCATATTACTTTTACACAATAAACACTATTATTATTATTATTATCAAATAACAATTTAATTGTTTTACCAAATTGCAATTGCCATAACAAAACCAATGGCCATTATTATTTTTATAGCAACTTTACCTTTTAATATTTATTTTCAATAAACAAAATACATACGTGAAGTAACAAAAATTTACAAATGTTGTATGATCAGTGATCACTTTTTTTTTTCAAAAACGGTTAAAGCAAATGTCAACATATTTTTGAAATCGGAAAGAAAAGATCTTTAATTTTTGAAAAATATACAGGGTGTTCCATAAAAAATGTACCAAATTGTATTTTTTAGTAACTTTAAGATATTCCTTTGTTTTTTTTACTTTACATTTTCTTGCGATTTAGGATAACTTTTGTACAATCAATAACGTTGCGCTAAATCAATAGAATTTATAATTATTATTATGCTGTATCTTAAAGATGGAGACTTGCGGTTTTCGCAATCTTGTGAAACTTTTAATACCACAAACAGATTCAATCTAGATACGTTTGTTTCAGAGATACAGGGCGCAAACGAAAAGTTTGACTTTTTGGGATGTTATTGGCATCTTACCACTCATCTAAGATAGAAAATTTGAGCTATGAGCCAAAAATAAAAACCTTATTTTTTACGGCTTTTAAATAGTAGACCATAGATTCATATAGATATTGATTTGTTTATTGTATTCATGGTAACTAAAACCTATAAAAATGGCTGATGGCAGAAACATGTGATTTCAAAAATTTGAAAAATATGATATAAAAAAAGAATGCAAGAAACGTACGTTAAGATATACAGAGCGTTTCATTAAAAAATACTAACTTTGGGTCAGATCTCGGAAACGGTGGTCCAAAAATGTTTTTTTGACTACGCCACTGGATTCTATGTAAAAATATATCGAAAACCTTTTTTCTATCTTTCATAGGTAGTAGGTAAGATCTAAAATTCCAGAAAGTGCAACTTTTCATTTTCACCCTGTATCTCAGAAACAAATGCAGCTTCACTGTTTGTAGTATTAAGCTTCACAAAAAAGTGGCACGTGAATAAAGGGCGAATATAGCAAGAGGTGGGGTATAGAATAATATGAGTTACGCTCTTTCATGTTAGCTACATGTGTACATTTTAATTTCAAAAGATAGCATATTAATTCTCTTTAAAATTCACTATTGATTCAAAAATTAAAAAACGATTTTAAAAAATGCAAAAATCTTCAAAATTTTTGTGTTTTCTTTTAAATCATTTCAACTTTTTAATCATTTTGAATCACTTGTTTTTTGAATTTTTTGAATACCATCTTTGGCTTGTTATATTTTTGAAAAGAAAATTTAATATGCTTTTTTTACATTAAAATATACACCTAAAAAAATGATAACTTTTTTAGTCGACCCCGTATACTTATTTTGAAAATGGCAGATTATTCATAAAGAAACTTTTGTAATATACATTTTTTTTAACTCCTAATTTTATGTTGCGACAGAAACGATTTAGCCACATTTCTTTCTAATATACAGGGTGAAAACGAAAAGTTTGATTTTTTGCGATGTTATCGTATCTTACTACCCAATGAAGATAGAAAAAAGATAAACTGACCATTTTAGTTATTTTTATGTAGAATCCAGTGGCGTAGTAAAAAAAATTTTTGGGTCATCGTTGATATTTTGTAAAAAATTTCAAATTTTGATTTTACCATTTTAAGTTGGACCCAATAAGAGTACCGTGTGTCCTATTTTGGTTGCAACAGAAACGATTTAGCCACGTTTCTTTCTAATATACAGGGTGAAAACGAAAAGTTTGATTTTTTGGAATGTTATCGTATCTTACTACCCAATGAAGGTAGAAAAAAGATAAACTGACCATGTTAGTTATTTTTAGGTAGAATCCAGTGGCGTAGTAAAAAAATTTTTGGATCATCGCTGATATTTCGTCAAAAATTTTCAAATTTTGATTTTACCATTTTAAGTGGGACCCAAAAAGAGTGACGTGTGTCCTATTTTGGTTACGACAGAAACGATTTAGCCACATTTCTTTCTAATATACAGGGTGAAAACGAAAAGTTTGATTTTTTGGGATGTTATCATATCTTACTACCCAATGAAGATAGAAAAAAGATAAACTGACCATTTTAGTTATTTTTATGTAGAATCCAGTGGCGTAGTAAAAAAAATTTTTTGACCATGTCTGATTTTTACAATTTGCGATGTTTGCCTATAATGCTTATAGGCCATGGTTAAAATGTTTGTCACTTTCCCGTAGTCTTTTTTTGCATATCACCTGATAATAAAGACGCTAACGCCAATTATTGCCTCCCTCAGTCGATGTAATCGCATCTTATTTACTCTTCAGGTCGAAGAGGGCGACTGCCGCTACCTTCCCAAGGAGATACTTCAGGAGGACTACACGAATCTAACGAAAGCCGACGTGTTCTCGTTGGGCATGACCTGCTTGGAGGCGGCCGGATCGGGTCCGTTACCGAAAAACGGCGAGACGTGGCACAAAATTCGCGACTGCAAGTTGCCGCCTCTAAATCTGGCGCTCAGTCGCGATCTGACCGACCTCATTAAGTCAATGCTTCATCCGGATCCGATCATTCGACCATCACCGATGCAGGTCCTGCAGCATCGTGCCGTCTCGCCGCGCGGCGGTAAGAAGTCAAGGGCCCAGTTACAAAGGGAGTTGAACGCGTTGAAGTTAAAGAGCGAAATTTTATCCAAGCAGCTGGTCGACGCTACTAAGTATATCAAGGTGGTCGCGCCCGAAGTTAATCAAATGAAGACTCTTACAAGATATTCGTCGAGAATCATAGGGAAAAAGTTAAATCGCAGCTGTAGTACCACTGCTTTTTAGATGCTTTAGTTCGTTTGCCATTTTTAACTGTGTTGTAAAGGCTGTTAATTAGTATTATGTCGAGGAGGTTAACTTGTTACATGTTTTAATATTTGTTTTATTGTTAGATTTCGCAAGTTTTCGTCCTCCCCTAAGTGATATGTCATTTTACTATTAGTTTGTATCCCTCCTACTTTTTTTGAATTGACAGCTGTCTTTTTCAACTAATTAAGGTTTCTAATGTAACACGGTGGTTATCATGGTGATTTTTCGTTTTTGTTAAGTATTTTTTTGAAAAGTCACAATCGTAACCATCACAGTTTTTCATTTTCTTTAGTTGTTAAGCATAAAATGTTCAAGTATTTAGCAAATCAGTTATCTATAGGCTACTTTATATATTTATACTAAAAAAGATTCAAAATAAATTGCACTATTAAATATTTTGATGGTACTGTACGAATTACATGGGATCCTTTAATAGTCATCTTAATGTTTTATTCTAGTTATTAAATATACAGTATGTACAAAAACTAATGATGGATATGCACGTGGATATTGCCAGCGCAACCCACTTGAGCCGATCTATTTATGGACCGTTTTATTTGAAATTTTAACGCAAACACGTTTTATTAAACCTTTATGCTCCTTTGTGGTGGGTTCCAGGGCATTCAGATATTGCAGACGATCTGGCAAAATTACATAAAACCAAACAAATATTAATATATTATAATCCAACCAACGTAACAATACAAAATTACTTAAATTTAAAGCCCAACTGATCCAGTTCCTCTCTTGCAAGTTTTATTTCCTAAAAGAAGAATTATCAATACGTATCTACACTCTTATTCGTATCACCTTTTGCAATTCGAAAGCCTCTTTCTCGCAATTATTAAACGTGACCGTTCTGTATAAAACTATTAAGGCAGCGTACAACTGTAATGCAACTATTAATGAGACTTATCGGGAAGGTAGGTAAGGTAGTTACCCCAAAGAACATTATAAAGACGATCGGAGAATACAAAATTTCCCTATAATACTGCCGGGTCAACGTCGAATCGAATTTATTTGTAATTAGGGCCGCCCAAAGACAGAAAAAGAAACCAATTGTGGCTAGCCATTCCATAAACTTCGTCATTTTGGCCAAATTCTGAAGCTTTTTCACAAGTTCATAAAAAACATAACCTTATCTTATCTGGCTTGTGGCTGTGAGTCATATACCTATCAAATTATACGGGGATGGGCAAAAGAAAAAGACTGCAACTGTAGAGAGTCGGATAAGGACTTCGTGACAAGGGTCAGCCTATTTTCATCGAAGCATAAAGTGTGGTGTATTGGTTTTTAATTGACAAACATACACAAAAATCAATTTTTGTATAGCTAATGTCTTGGAGGTGCCTCTAGTCTCTAATTTGCTTGTGTGTGGCACTTTGAACATACAGCATAATTACCGCTTGACATAGAGCAATACAACCATTGACATAATGAATACAAAGCACAATAACTTGCAGAAAGAAATTGCAAGGCCAAATCCTTGCATGCAACATTTATTATGCACACCATAATCAATGCATGCACTAAGCATTACATTCACTTTGATTATACCTAGATATTTGATATGGTGCAACTCAATTTCAATTGCCACATGTCTGCCAACAGAAGAAAAAGATGGATTTGACAACAAAGTTGCTAACCCCAAATAAAAATTAAATTTTGATTACTTAAGAAACATAAAAATTACAAGAATAAATAAGATTAATAAAAACTATTTAAATAGAAGACTATGGAAGGAGCGTTCCTATGTATTATTATAGGACCCTATTAGACTTCTCAATATGGCGGACCTACAACTACAGTGGCCTTAGACTATGAAAGAAAGGGGACTGATAATATCCTATCAAGGGCAATGCTGCGCGTTGAAGCCTGGGGCGGCCATGAGCCAAAGTTTCTTTAATTTTTCATTTTCGTGATTATGCGATCCTTAAGTCTCGAAATGTGCAATTAAAAACATTATTGGACAATGGTACATTGTAGTGCACGGAAGTGATAGCCAAAAAACACACGAAAGTATGTCGTTTCACAGGTATAAATTATAGGTTAGTTTTCGGTGAAATACCAAACAAATGTGAGCTTCACTTTACGATCATTATTATCACTCCTCATTCTTTCCTTCTCGAAGACAGTGGCCGACTTTTCATGGCGGAGCCGTTGTGACGCATGCGCGGTGCGTAACTGGGAAAGAGGCACGATTTGGCTGTGTTCAGTTACATAATCACAAAGCAGCGAGCAATATCTTTTCAGATGCATCAGATTCATTTGTAAATAAACGGACGTGTTGGAGCAATAATTTAACATGCCAATTACATTTTACTTTTCACTCACTTGTACTGTACCCCCAGGTTCTACGCTAACTTCACACTATAAGAACACGGAAATAAAGTCAACCCGGCAACGTTTAAAAATGGCAACCTCCAAAACTATGTCGACAATTGAAAATTTCCGTGACATTCCCATCCTTGGTTCGTGACTCACCCTGTATACGAGATGGATACTTGGATGGACGAAGTCGAACCACAGCCATTTTATAGTGGCAGTTGCAAGTTCGGATGAAGCAGAAAAAATGTTTTCAGGTTTGTTTTGAATTTCCATGCTTTTTTTAATCATTTCTGTGCCAGGTTCTCCCTTGAAACGTAAATGCGAGACATCCGACGATGATCAACTACAATTCAAACGCCGTTTTATTGAGGAACCACCTGAAACCACCACTCACATACTCGATTTCTCCGACTGCGTTTTACTGGAGATTTTCAAGCACTTGGACGCCACCAGTCTATATCATCTTAGCCTGTAAGTTACTCGATGTAAGGGAGCCACTCGTACAATCTTTTCTAGCACATGCCATCGTCTCGCTGGTTTGGTAGACGACCAGTCATTGTGGATCTCCATTGATGGGCGTCTACGTCCCAACAGTACTGAGAAGCTCGAATTCTGCTGGAGGCACGTTACCGAAAAGACGAAACGTCTATTGCTCGCGGCCGAAGCACGCAGCCGCTGCATTCTGTCGCGTAGTCTCGTATTTTGTCCCGAAAAACTCGCTAACCTAACAGTCTTATCGCTCGAACACCAGTGTATTAAATACGTAGGTAAGTCGAATGCACTATTAAAACCTTCAATTCGATTCCTCCTTAGTGTATGTTAATCGACTTTCCTCAGTCTCTTCAGGAGCTAAGTTTTCGCCATTCGTTTATTACTCAGCATACACACTTTTTCCGTTTCTCTGAGAAGTCCATGTCGAATTTAAAGGTGAGTGGGCGTCTTACGCCGCTAGGAGATAATTCGGGCGCACTCTTCCGTTGCAGACCTTAATAATGGACCACTGCCAGTGGTTCGAGTCGTACAACCTGGTGTCGATCTGCAAGTACCCGAAACTGGAAATTCTGTCGTTGTACATGTGCAAGAGACTCGGCAGCGACGATATCGCGAACGTAACCATCTCCTCGCGTTACGGCTTTAGCAGTCTCAAAGTACTCGACGTACGTTTTACGGGTACGTCATCGGACCCTCCGGCCCGAATCCTTTGCGATGTTGTTCTTGTTCGTAGGTATCGGCGATCAGTTCGCGGACGTGTTCTCTAGTAAGGCCAGCATTCAGATTATGTACTTCCAGTGTCATCCGACGACGTACTACTCGGACCGTTATCAGCGTCAGTTGGATTTGATGCGGGAGGGGACGAGCGCCGACGATAACTCGTATATGTCCGATGATGACGCCCAAGATAACACGCCCGCGGCGCTGAAGAAGAGATTTAACGCGGGAAATTTTCAGAAATATGAAACGCACGGCGTGACAAATAACGGTGTCATATCGTTTAATAAGTTGGAACCGGCGTTGGGTAGTCGGTCACGACCCAAAAGCACCTTGTACAAATATCCGTATACCCGATGTACTTGTCGCAATAAAGAGAAAGGTAAGTGCCGTTTCAAAATAAAAGAGTCGTTTCCACTCCTGCCATCTGGGACCGCCTTTATTTTTAAGAGCATGATTTCTAAGTCTGTTGGACTTTTTGTGCTCAAAATTTTAAGCTCAAGGTCATAAATTAAACTTATTCTTCCCGCCATTTTTAAGATAATAATTTTTGAATTTTTTTTCAAAATTTTGTGTAGTAGCACGACAGCAATTTCTCAATTTTAAGTTCAGTTTTCAGAATTCGAAATTTTGGCACTGCAAACTTTAAGAGGACAAACTTGTTCCCGCCATTTTTTAAGATAATAAATTTTTGAATTTTTTGAGTTTTTTTTGGCAAAATTTTGCGTAGTAGCACCACGGCAATTTCGCAATTTTAAGTTCCGTTCTCAGAATTCGAAATTTTGGCAGCGCAAACTTTAAGAGGACCAACTTATTCTTCCCGCCATTTTTAAGATAATAATTTTTGAATTTTTGAGTTTTTTTTTTCAAAATTTTCGTAGTCGTACGACAGCAATTTCCCAATTTTAAGTTCATTTCTTAAAATTCGAAATGTTGGCAGGACAGACTTGTGCCAGCCACTTTTTAAGATAATAAATGTTTGAATTTGTTTGAGTTTTATTTTCAAAATTGTTCGTAGTAAGAGGACAGCAATTTCGCAATTTGCTCTCAGAATTCGAAATTTTGGGAGTGCAAACTTTAAGAGGACAGACTTGTTGTTGCCGCCATTTTTCAAGATAATAAAATTTGATTTTTTTGAGTAGTTTTATCATAATTTTGCGTAGTCGTACGACAGCAATTTCCCAATTTTAAGTTCAGTTCTTAGAATTCAAAATGTTGGCAGGGCAACTTGTTCTCCGCCAATTTTTAAGATAATACATTTTTGAATTGTTTGAGTTTTTTTTCAAAATTTTGCGTAGTAGCTCCACAGCAATTTCTCAATTTTAAGTTCAGTTCTCAAAATTCGAAATGTTGGCAGAACAAACTTGTTGTGCTCTCCACTTTTTAAGATAATCAATTTTTGAACTTTTTTGAGTTTTTATTTCAAAATTTTGCGTAGTAGCAGGACAGCAATTTCGCAATTTTAAGTTCAGTTCTCAGAATTCGAAATGTTGGCAGTGCAAACTTTAAGACGACCAACTTATTCTTCCCGCCATTTTTAAGTTAATAATTTTTGAATTTTTTTGAGTTTTTTTTTTTTCAAAATTTTACGTAGTCGCATGACAGCATTTTTGAGTTCAGTTCTCAGATCTCAATTGTGGTGTCAATTTACATTTTCAATGTCATCCAAGGTCAAGGACCCCATGTTTGTGTTGTCAAATTACAATTTCAAGGACATCCAAGTCCCAGTTTTTTTTTCAAAATTTTGCGTCGTAGCAAAACAGCAATTTCGCAATTTTAAGTTCAGTTCTCAGAATTTGAAATGTTGGCAGTGCAAATTTTAAGACGACCAACTTGTCTTCTGGCCATTTTTAAGTTAATAATTTTTGAATTTTGTTGAGTTTTTTGTCAAAATTTTGCGTAGTTGCACGACAGCAATTTCGCAATTTCGAGTGCAGTTCTCAGATCTCAATTGTGGTGTCAATTTACATTTTCAATGTCATCCAAGGTCAAGGACTCGATGTTGTCAAATTACAATTTCAAGGACATCCAAGTTCCAGTTTTTTTTTTTCAAAATTTTGCGTAGTATCAAGACAGCAATTTCGCAATTTTGGGTTCAGTTCTCAGATTTCGAATTCACCAGTGCAAACTTCAAGAGAACACACTTCTGTTCCCGCCATTTTAAGATAATAGATTTTTGAGTTTTTTGTTTAAAAATTTTGCGTAGTAGCTTTTTTCAAGATTTTGCGTAGTACCATGACAGCAATTTCGCCATTTGAAGTTCAGTTCTCAGAATTCGAAATTTTGGCAGTGCAAACCTTAAGAGGACCAACTTATTGTTCCAGCCATTTTTAAGATAATAATTTTTGAAATTTTTTGAGTTTTTATTTCAAAATTTTTCGTAGTAGCACGACAGCAATTTCGCAATTTTAAGTTCAGTTTTCAGAATTTGAAATTTTGGCAGTGCAAATTTTAAGACGATCAACTTATTCTTCCCGCCATTTTAAGTTAATAATTGTTGAGTTTTTTTTTTCAAAATTTTGCGTAGTGGCATGACAGCAATTTCGAAATTTTGAGTTCAGTTCTCAGATCTCAATTGTGGTGTCAATTTACATTTTCAATGTCCTCCAAGATCAAGGACTCCTTGCTTGTGTTGTCAAATTACAATTTCAAGAACATCCAAGTTCCAGTTTTTTTTCAAAATTTTGCGTTGTATTAAGACAGCGATTTCGCAATTTTACGTTCAGTTCTCAGAATTCCAAATGTTGGCAGCGCATACTTTAAGAGGACAAACTTGTAGTTCCCGCCATTTTCTGACAATACATTTTTGAATTTTTTTGGGTTTTTTCTAGGAGGAAACAAATACCACTTTTGGTGTACACCAAAAATTCAAATTCCAATTAGTTCACGTTAATTCAAATTAATTCACGTTAATTCAAATTAATTCACGTTAATTCAAATTAATTCACGTTAATTCACATTAATTCACGTTAATTCAAATTAATTCACATTAATCACGTTAATTCAAATTAATTCACGTTAATTCAAATTAATTCACGTTCGTTCAAATTAATTCACGTTAGTTCAAATTAATTCACGTTAGTTCAAATTAATTCCATTAATTCAAATTAATTCACGTTAATTCAAATTAATTCACGTTAATTCACATTAATTCACGTTAATTCAAATTAAGTTCAGTTCTCAGAATTCGAAATGTTGGCAGCGCAAACTTTAATAGGACAAACTTGTAGTTCCCGCCATTTTTCAAGATAATAAAGTTTGATTTTTTTTTCAAAATTTTGTGTAGTCGTACGACAGCAATTTCGCAATTTTAAGTTCAGTTCTTAGAATTCAAAATGTTGGCAGTGCAAACTGTAAGAGGATCAGCTTATTCTTCCCTCCATTTTTAAGATAATAATTTTTGAATTTTTTTGATTTTTTTTCAAAATTTTGCGTAGTAGCACCACAGCAATTTCGCAATTTGAAGTTCAGTTCTTAGAATTCGAAATATTGGCAGGACAAAGTTGTTGTTCCGGCCATTTTTAAGATAATACATTTTTGAATTTTTTGAGTTTTTTTTCAAAATTTTGCGTAGTATCACGACAGCAATTTCGCAATTTTAAGTTCAGTTTTCAGAATTAGAAATTTTGATATTGCAAAGTTTAAGAGGTCAAGCTGGTTGTTCCCTCCATTTTTAAGATAATAAATTTTTGAATTTTTTTGATTTTTTTGTTTCAAAATGTTGCGTCGTAGCATGACAGCGATTTCGCAATTTTAAGTTCAGTTCTCAGGATTCGAAACTCTTTAAGAGGACAAACTTGCTCCCGCCATTTTTCAAGATAATAAATTTTGATTTTTTTGAGTTTTTTTTTTCAAAATTTTGTGTAGTAGCAGGAGAGCATTTTGCAATTTTAAGTTCAGTTTTCAGAATTCGGAATTTTTACAGTGCAAAGTATAAGAGGTCAAACTGGTCTTTCTCGCCATTTTTATGACATTTTTGAATTTTTTTGAGTTTTTTGTTTCAAAATTTTGTGTAGCACGACAGCAATTGCGCAACTTTAGGTTCCGTTTTCAAAATTCGAAATTTTGGCAGTGCAAATTTTAAGACGACCAACTTATTCTTCCCACCATTTTCAAGTTTTGCGTAGTGGCATGACAGCAGTGCTGTCAATTTACATTTTCAATGTCATCCAAGGTCAATAACTCCATGTTTGTGTTGTCAAATTACAATTTCAAGGACATCCAAATTCAATTATTGCATTTTTATGTGGTGTCGAATTACATTTTGGTAACTTACATCGCAGGTCGATGAACACATTTCCCGTGTCAAATTACATTTTCAAGGTCATAGAAGCGAAATGATCTCACTTTTTCCACCTGGCGGTGATCTTGGAAAGCAGATCAAGGTGAAGCTCAAGGTCATCGGGTGTCAATGGCACCATTTTTGTGTGTTGGAAACAAGGTTACCAAAGATCAATAACCCCACGTTTTGCAGTGTGCAGTCAATGACCTCATTTTTCTAATGTACTTTATTTTCAAGGTCATCCAAGTTTAATGACATAATTGTCATATCTTATTTCATTTTCAAGGTCAGTAATTCATTTGCAATGTTATCCGAGATTAATGACCGCCATCTCTTTGCGGTGTCATTCCACTTTCAAGGTCATTAGAAGTTAATCGCTCCTGTTTATGCGGTGCCACATTTTATTTTCAAGGTTCTCGAAGCTCAATTTCCTCCATTTTTTGCGAAGTCATATTTCATTTTCAGAGGTCTGTCGACACTTAGCGATGACCTCGATAATGTAATTCGACACCACAAAATTCAGTCATTGAGCTTGGATGTCCTTGAAATTGTAATTTCAGCACAAAAATGGAGCCATTGACCTTATATGACATTGAAAGGTCATTGACCTTGTATGCTCTTAAAATGTAATTAACACCACATCAATGGTTGACATAATTTGTGACAGAGGAGACACTTATTTTTTTCGCATTTATTCTTGTATAGTGACCTTTCTCCTCGCAATTAAGACACTTGTCTTACCCCTACCACCTCGGGTGCAAGCCTTAACACAGCCACACTTGGCATTTAAATGAAATTTGATACACCAGGCTTAAAATTTGGTTTTGCGCATGCGCAATGCCTTCATATCGGATTTAAAACAATTGCGCTACAAAGCAGGTCACTACTTGATGCCTCTTAGTTCCTCTTTTTGCAATTTATTTCCAGATAAATCTAAAGCATCAAATGAAGAACCGGAATTCCGTGAGTTGCAAGAGAAGCTAGAAAATGAACAGAAAAAACAAGCACACGTTCGCGAGAACAAGTTGAGCAGTCACGTTTGCCTCTTTTATCCGAACACAACTTACGTGTGCAGCAACATCGTGCTCGATTCCTGCTTCATTCCGACGTGGTACCACAGGGAAGCTCGCCCCGACTTGCCGTTGCACAACTGGCTATACGCTCGCGAACCGAAAAACGACTACGAAATTGCGATGTACGAGAATACGGATAAATACATACAGTCTCACATTACGTACAGGTATTTTGTTGTGGCGCTACTTTGGACCCTTACGGATTGTATTTTAGGTGTGTTCCGAGAGACTGCATGTGCGAGAACAGTCAGTTACACTACGCTCATGACACACCGCCCGATTTTACACTAGTCCTGGCCGACAGAGTTGACCGATTTAAAAACTGCGCGGACGTGAAAGACGAAGCGCGTCAGTTTCTCGCGTTCCTTTTCGAATGTTGCGATGTGCGGAATGACGAACTGCTGCAAGATGAATCTTTCGTAGACGAGATCGGCTCGATTTTACACGAACTGTCCAAAAAAGTAACCTACAACATGAGACGCGTCTTCAAGTACCACGGCTCTTGCTTCAATCTTCTATGGAACGTTTTGAAAAGGAACACAAACATCGATCACAATCTGAGGACCTTTTTTCGCAACTTGTTCCTGAGCGAGTCCGGGGGGCATTGCGCGCTCAGCGACGAGATTTTCAATAAGGCGCCCAATGTGTGCGAGGTTCCCGACAGCGAATTGGAGAAGGACAAAACATTACAATCGCTTGACACCGGCAATAGTCGCATACTGTTAGTTGATTTACCATCGGCCGTTGACCGGGTGCGCGAGGTCCCGACGCGTTTCGTGACCGTCAGTCGACGCGAAGGGCCGATCAAAAAGCAGCCCAGCTTTCTGAAGGAAATCTCGTTTCGCGGCAGCGTGCTCATTACCGATGCCTCTCTGGTGCATTTGCGCCATCTCGAGTTGGACCTGTTGGACGTTACGGGCACGAATATTACAAGAGAAGGCGTGCAGGAGTTTATGAAATGCAATCCTCAGTGTTGGGTAATTCACGAGTCGGTGTGTGTTTGTCGTCCTAGTTTACATTTTTAAGTTTTTACGTGTTCGTTTGGTAGCGTTTTATTACCAAGTGAGAAAAATAAATTTGCAACATTTAAATTAACTCCTAACCAATTCATTTATGCCTAATAAAAACGTCAAAACCAATCTACTCCTTGACAGGTGAGTAAAAAATTCTACGCGAAAACGTTGACGACGCGGCAGGCTACACCGCGGAAAACCTACAAGGCAAAAGTTAAAGGAAAATTACCCCTTTTTTAGAAAAACTTTACAAACAGATGTTATTTTTCCTCTACTATCATTTATAAAATTATAAAATGTAGGACTCGACAAAACTTGCGATTAGTTAACGAGGGTAGATCTGAGTTCTGACAAGAAAGACTGACTATTATTATTATTATCATCACAACCCAAACGCAAAACCAAACAAACACTTACACAATAAACAACGCCACTTAATTAAATTGCTAAACTTGTATTTGTTTTATTTTATTATTATTTTTATTTTATTTATTTTTTCTTTACTATCATTTATAAAATTTAGGACTTTACTAGACGAACGACGGACTAACGACTAACTAATCGTTACTTGATTTTAATCCGTGCGATTAGTTAACAAGGCTAGACCTGAGTTCTGACAAGAAAAACTGACCATAATAATAATAGTTTTTTTTTATAACAGAACAAACAGAATGGTTCCATAAACTAGGACAGTCTTAGGTAAATATATGTTTTTGTTGTCTATGAATGAAAGCACTCGTACAAATGCCGCGATATTACAAATTGAAGCAGTACATTATATTCTCGGTGCTGCGCAAGTCATAGCGGAGCTGGGAATTAGTCCAGTCAACGATTTTTTCGTAATATATCTCTTCGTCAACAGGAAATGCCTTCTGCTGGTGGTCGTGTACTTCGGTAAGTGATCGGAGTGTCAATTCCCATTTTGAACAACATAAAAATCTTGCGCGAAATAACGCAAGCCGTGTTGGTTCCACCCAACCCATCACGCTTCTAGTGCGAATCACACGTCATACTTCCTGGAAAGAACGCATCACTTCCGCTTTCATTCCTCAATGAACTTGATGGCGACTTGATATCGTTCTAGAAAATTCGCTACAATAAAAGAAAAAGAGATGTAGATGTATTTAAATGGCAGAGAATAAAATTACAAAACTCAAAAATTCAAAAACGTCGCCGATTCGATCTATCGACGCGTCGGACGCATAGATAATTACCCTCTTAATTATCTATGGTCGGACGTTGCAATTTATCCCAAAGAACACGTTACAAGAGGTTTCGTCGAAATACGAGCACTACTTCGAAAGTTATGCAAAAATTTACTTTCTTCGAAAAAATCGAAAAAAAAACGTCAAAAATCGTCGCTTTTCCGATGTCATCTTATGCATTTGGGCGCGGAGATTGCAAAAACGAAAGAAAATTCTTATAAAAGATTTACGGTTTCGGCGGTAGGGGGCGCCTTTTGCTTTTCGAATTTTGCCTACCTTTACAAATAAATTAATATTTCGCCAATATTCGAGGTATTCGAACGGTCGACGCGGCGATCGTAAGAGCAAGGACTGGGCTATCCTACAATACGTTCACCTCCCCCAAAAAATCAATAGCGTCTACGGGAGAGGACGCCAAAGAAAAAATTAAAGTGCTAATGAAAATGGGCACTTGCCGGTGGAATTCTGGGGTCTTTTTGTTACTAAACGATTACGTTAGAGTCCCCATCGGTGTGCATAGGCTTGTCGCAAGCGCTTCAAATAGAAATCGATATGAATACGGCGATTTTTTGACGAAAAATTAATAACTTCTGTTTTTGCCTACTTTAAACTACGAGACTAAGTGCGCATACAAGTTTGGCGAAGATTTGAGGTTCCTATGTGACTTTTGGGCACTCTAACGTCGATATACGTTAAAAATCGCGTAAATTTTTAAATGAGAGACAATCGAAGATAGTTAGGTTAGGTCGGCGCGCGCCGTTAGGTTAGATCGCGGTTAGGATAGGTTAGGTCGAAACCGCGTTTGGGTTAGTTCAAGATGGGCCGTTAGGTTTGATAGACCTACACCTGATCTGGAACCTAACTTAACCTAAACGTAACCTAACTCATTCTAACCGCGTCGCCGAGACCTTTCCTACGATACCTCTCGCGCCTTCCTACGACCTTCCGTTTCGTCGTCCGCCGCTGCCGTCGCGATCCGTCCAAATTGTATCCTTCCCTCATCGTCAACAAACGGGTCGCGAAACGTCGATAACAACAATTTGGGTATATATATATATATATATCACTTATATATTATTTAAACACTCCCGTATCTACTCGTACGCGATCGATCTCCGAAGTTACACGTATAACACGGGAAAAATTTCGACCGCTTCTTCAGTAGGCGTCGCGGTCGGGCGTCCTCCTCTGTCCGAAAACGGGAGTCCGTGTCGCTCGGGAGGCGGGTGTGTGCCTTTTTTTTCCACACGCATGGAAGCGTTTTACAGGGCCGCACATCTCTTGATATCTCCCTTATTTACCGGCCAATTTGAACCAAATTTGAACGGTAACTGCGCCCGAGCGAGGGCTCGAAATGGGATTTTCAAATTTTTTTCATCCCCTCCCCTGTTCGAGATATCGACGCATCTCCGTCGTCTTTCGACCTACGACCTCGATACTTCTAAATCACGCGTTTCGCGACATTTCTAGACGATCTACGCAAAGACCGTTTTTTGGATATTTTTTTATCAAAAACTTAAGTCGCAATATCTCGAGAATGGAACGTCGTAGATAAGGGTTCATGGGTGTCTTTAGAAAGGTCTTGACCTAATCTAACCGATGGGAGGGTCTGAATTTCAGAACGGAGGTAAAAGCTCGGAAATGGCGGGAAAGGATTCCCCGAACCCCCCAATACCAAATTTCGCCGAGATCGGACGGTAAATAACGAAGATTAGCGATTTGTAATTTCAAATTACTAATTTGACACCAGCGAAATCACTTAAAACGTTATATCTCGAGAACGGTGCATCGTAGATAGGGCTTTATAGGTATCTTTGAAAACCTCTTGATGTAATCTAACCGATGAGATGGTCGGAATTTCGGAATGGAGATAGAAGTACCGAAAGGTTGGGAACGGGTGCCTCCATTTCTCCAACCTCTGAATACCTCATTTGGACGAAATCGGACGGTAAACAACGGAGATATAGTGATTTGACACCACAGAAAGACTTAAATCATGATATCTCGGGTTCCTGGGTATCTTCAGAAAGGTCTCGATCTAACCTAACTGATGGGAGGAAATATTTCGGAATGCAGGACACCAATTAAAAGACATTCGTGCGCATGAACGATTAGGTTGAGTTAGGTTAGGTTAGGTTCAAAGTCAAAAGTAAATCTCGATTTAACCCACCAGCACATCCCTACCTACCCTAACCTAACTGTACATTTCAACCTAACTTAACCGCCGTCTCTTATAAAAAACAAACAAAATATATACGCAGAAAGTCGTACTACGAATGCGCAAAACTCAATTTTTTTTCAAACTTTCTTATTTATATCAATAAGTGATAAAGAATTGGTATACAGTTAAAACAGAATCGTATGTTACCTATACTGTAAAAATAAAGACCCAAACGCAAAAAATACCCCATTTTCGGCGAAATTTGTGGGAATTCAATTTACCAATACATACGTCGAGTTTGACTAAACAAATACTATCGATATATTGGTGCTTTTTTGAGCCGAATCAAAATTATTTTCCTTTGTTTTTCGCATTTTATAAAATTGCCAACGTTACTTAAAAACAACCCAAACTACAATCGCACAACGGTCGAGCTAAAAAAAAATTGACAAACGGAAAACCATAAAAAATGGCGCGTGATAACCAAACGCCGTGATCGGTCGGAGCGAGCGACGCGAGCTCCATTCCGATCTAGTTGAAAATGATAAAAAAAACATGTTTTATACAAAATACAAATAAAGAAATACTATCACCATAAGTATAACAAAAGAACAACAATACGATGCTTTCTCGCCGACAACTCAAACCAAGATGGCTCTAACGTAGAAAACACAAATTAATTAGCGGTGCCTAGGTGCTGTTTATTTTAATGTTCAAGACAGACCAATATCGCTAATTTAAGCCTTGAAAATTGCCGGTTGTTAAAGAATATATGTACTACGCTGCTTCTGATACTTTAATAAGCGAATACTACATCGAGCGCTCAAGTTTGATGATTTCATTGGGCGCTCAGCCGTATTCAGCGCGTGCATAGCTGTTTTTCCAGCGCCAAAGCAGAAAGTATTTTTGCTGAAAAAAAATGGCGGACTCCGATAAAGTTACATTGGCGCTACGACAGCAGTGGCCCGGCTGAACGCACCCATTGTTTCCACACGCGCCCGGATAAAAGAAAGAGTTGATGAAATTTACAGCGAGTTATATCTTAATTGCTAGATAATGTATTCAGGTCATTACCGTAAGAAAAAATAAGAGCCATTACAATTTATTGTGATTAAATTCATTAATATTTGTTACATAAAATTAACGGTGATAATAGTCCCGGAGCTTTTCACTTACCCTGTATAATACATTAACGTAACCTAAAAAGTGGCATGGCTAAAGTCGAATTCATTGTTTTCTTGCCGAACGATATAAAATTGTGATGTCTGCTCTTGTTAAAGTGGAAACGAAAAAAGAAGAAGAAATAACTGCATCTCTGGATGTAAATGTTTTTCTGACCAACAATGACTCCCCAACCATCAAGGAGGAATTGCAAGCATTCCCGATCAGTGCAGATATCACAGAAAATCAAAATAAAGGACACCAAAAAGTTGATTATGTTGAGAAAAGAGAATTTGAATGCACCCAGGATGCGAACACATCCAACCCCAAAGTCGTTTTCAAGACTCCGAAAGATTTTAAATGTGACCTTTGTGATTTTGTAACCTACTATAAACCTAATTTGAACAGGCATCTGTTGAGACACAAGACTTACAAGAACTTAAAATGTGATCTGTGCGATTACAAAACTAATAATAAATACACTTTGAAAATGCACCTATTAACGCACAATTTCGCAAAATCTTTAAAATGTGATCAGTGCGATTATGCAACGAA